GTCAAGTAAGATCAAGAAGATGTTTGCAGACATTGGTTTAGAATGGGGAATAAACAAATGCACTGCAATACATGTTAAACGTGGAAAACTGGAAACTAGCGGCAACAGAACTGAAATGCCTGTAAGTAACAACTACTCCATACCAGTTCTAGGCATTGAAGATCATTACCAATTCTTAGGAAAATACCAGAACATCCAACACCTGGAAGATAAAGTTATTGAAGAAGCTTCTGAAGAGTATGAAAAGCGACTTTGGGCCGTTTGGACCTCTCCATTGTCAATACCACGTAAAGTTMGTGCCACTAATGTTTATGCCGTACCTGTTTTACAGTATTATATGTGGACAACCGACTGGCCACTTAACCACCTCAAAGAGCTCGACAGACTAACAAGAAAAGTCATCARTGATAGCCGTGGAAAACACAAGTATGAATCCATACCACTCCTGTACTTACAGCCAGAACAAGGCGGGAAAGGATTAGTCGAACTAGAAACGTTGTACAAGAACACCAAGTTAGCCAACTACATTAATAATTCAGAAGATCAACATATCAAGCTCGTAAAGTCCTTCCAGATGAAAAAAGAACAAAGTAATTTAAGATCAATTTTTAAAGATGCCAAGAAGTACGCAGAAGAGCTAAACATAGACTGCGACTTCNTTAAGTTTAACTCGATAAAAGCACCGTTTTCAAACGAAAAAATACCCCAAAACTCATAAATATAACGTCACAATTATTAAAATACTATTTATTAAGTACCTGTATGGTAGTGTAATACATTTTAAAGTTTGTCAAGTTCAGCTCATCTACGTAAACACCAATGAAGATAGCGGGGAGTTGTACGGCCTTCCCCGTTTCTTGCAGAAAACTAAAGCTGTTTCGCTTGTCATTTTTTCTTGAATATTCCATGCCAGAACAAGTTATGGGATGAATTTATGAAATGTTTCTGTGTTTGGGTTTTTCAGCTACTTTTTGATTGAGAATGTCTACTAGTACGCTTTCTTTCACAAGTAAACATGAAGTAGGTTTTGAAGTCTGCTTGGCAAGTCAGGGCTACTGACTTCAACGCAGCTTGGGTATTCTGCTAGTTGCTAGTTGCTAGTTGCTAGTTGCTAGTTGCTAGTTGAAAGTTGCTAGTTGCTAGTTGCTAGTTGCTAGTTGCTAGTTGCTAGTTGCTAGTTGCTAGTTGCTAGTTGCTAGTTGCAATGTTCAGGGTATACATTTTGTATACAACAGAATGTAGAAATGATGTATAAATGATGTATATATATGTTGGATATTTATAAGTATATGGCACAAATCTAAATAATTCGTATCAACATAAATTTGATAGTTTTAGTTTATACTTGCTTTTTAAACCGGTTCAAAACCACGAGATCAGGCTTTCATTAAAATTCAAGACCATCGAGTTTATAAACCAAGCAACTTGCCGTCGTTTTTAGCGGAGCACCCAGGCGGGAGCACCATAACTAAGGAAAAATGGTATACACCGACACAGGAAGCCCAGTTGTCCTTCCGTACGTCCGTCCGTCCGTGTACATCGCGATTTTGATTGGCTACTAGCTTTTGGCGGGAAAAGAAGCGCGCTCGCGTCAATTTTTGAAAACAACTTTTTCACCAACGACGAAAACGACTCCAGTTTTTCTTTGAATCACTTCACTTCTGAGCCAAAATTGTCGAAAATCAACGGTTAGCTAATGGAAAGCGATCTTTATCTGAATAAGAAAAGACAAGAAGAAAAAGAAAGCGCCGAAAAAGTCTTAGTGAGAGAAAACCTGACTGAAGCAAATCCAGAAACAAGTGAACGCCAAAGACAACGATTATTGAGGGAGAATTTCACAAAGAGGAGATTTGACGTACATGTATTCTCCAACGATACCGTGGCGGTATGTTAGATTATTATGACTATTAAGTATGGGAGCTGTCAAGCGGTTTTTGGTGCTCAAATGTCAATTCTACTACTGGAAACACAAGCAGTTTTAAATTTGGTTTTGAATTTGAAAATCTTCACCTGTACACTTCAAAACTTCTTAAATCAGTTTGTTGACAATGAAAATACGTGTGAATTTTGTAAAAAGCTGCTAGAGACTTGATGTTTATTTGAAAGTTCAGATTTTTATTAAGCTTATCATTTATGAGTTATCACTGTATGATTGAGAAATATCAACAAAAAAACGTAAGCTTATTGATGATTAGTGTTGATGTTTCCTGAATGATTTAAAAACCATCAAAACTGTCAAATTGCATTAATCATTTTTTTATGATCACTGTATGATAGAAAAATATCAACCACCAAAATAGTTATTATTTATCATTCCTGTGTGATTAAATAGAGGATATTACATGATTGGTCGCATAGAAATATTGTGCTCACTCGATGTATATAAATTCAAAACTTCAAGATAAAAATTATATCTTCAAGCAACATGTAATGTTCTGTTTATTAAATGATTTTGGTGTAAGCAAAAAACTGTAACATAATCATAGAAGATCAAAAAGTTTGAACATTTGAACATAATGATTAATTTATGATTTCTGCATGATTGAAAAATTCCAAAACTGTCAAAATGCATTTAATATTAATTTATAATTCCTGTATGATTGAAAAATGTCAAACTGTCAAAATATATTAATAATTAATATTAATTTATGATTGNATTGACAGACGTATGAAAGATCTACATAACCAACCTTGGGTTGGTAAATTTGTGACCCAACACTGGAATGATTCTGAAATATCAAATACTTCATATGACATCTTTAAACAGTGGAAAAACATTCCAGATATCGTATTGTCAATCGATACAAGCATCAGACAACAACTCCTTAATACCAAGACCTACAGATCCCAGAAACTACACGAAGAATTACAAGAACTGTCTTGTCGACTCTGTTCTGAGAAACAGGAGACCGTTTCACACGTACTTTGTGGTTGTTCACATATAGCTCAATCTCTATACAAGTCTCGACATGACAAGATGCTCCGTCCTGCCTATCACGCTCTCCTTGATAAATACGGATTTGATGAATCTGATTATTCTTTACCATGGTACAAACAGTCATATCCACAGCCATGTCGAGAAAACAAGGAAGCAAAGATTTTATGGGACATACCATGGCAGCTTGAAAAATGCCCTAGAGACGGTGCAAATAAGCCAGATATCAGTATATTAGACAAGAAGAWCAAAGAATGGATCCTAGTAGTAGGCACGATATGCACCCCGGGAACAATTGCCGAAAGAACAAAGAACAAGTAGAACAAGTATGCAGACCTTAGACTGGGGATAAAGAACTTGTACCCAGGTTATAAAGTCAAACTTATCACTAGAGTCATCACACTTGCACCGTGAAACAAAATCAAAGAAGTAGTAACTATTAGTTTTTATTTACTGACTATTTGTATGAAATGTAGATATTCACTGAACCAAAACAATTCTTAAAAACAAAAGGTAATACAMAAGAGACTTGGAAGCCAAACAACGTTATTAAAAGCTACCTAATGAAGAAGGAGGAATTTGTTAAAAAATGTCCCACCCACAATTAAGGAAAGAAATAAAAAATGTCACCCACTGTCAACGAGATGGAAAAATATCCCCGATATCGTTTATAGCGTAAATAAAACCATACGATAACAATCATTACCAACAAAGACGTACCAACAAAGTAAAGCACAGATGGCCATAGCAGACACTAACTGTAGAATGTGCCACACAGCTACAGAGTCAACAACACACGTTCTAAGCGCCTGCTCAAAGATCGCCCAGAGCCTCTATACAGCCAGACACGACAGGATGCTAAGACCGATATATCACTGCTTGCACAACAAGTACAGATTTCAAGAAAGTGACCATGGAAAACCATGGTACCAACAAAGTCTACCATCTGCAGTGATTGAGAATGAGAAGGCAAAKATATACTGGAACGTGCCCTACTACCTTGAAACGCCACCAGAAAATGGAGCAAATAAACCAGACGTGATTGTCCATGATAAAGAAGACAATACCTGGACACTACTTGAAGGGACAGTCTGCCAAGTAGATAAAATCTTAAATCGATCAAAAAAAAAAAAAAAAAAAAAAAAAAAAAAAATAATAATAATAATGTTTTGATCATTTTCTGACGTCGACAGAAATGAAAATAACGTCAGAAAATGAGAACCAGGCGGTGTTGGACACANCAAGCAGTTTTAAATTTGGTTTTGAATTTGAAAATCTTCACCTGTACACTTCAAAACTTCTTAAATCAGTTTGTTGACAATGAAAATACGTGTGAATTTTGTAAAAAGCTGCTAGAGACTTGATGTTTATTTGAAAGTTCAGATTTTTATTAAGCTTATCATTTATGAGTTATCACTGTATGATTGAGAAATATCAACAAAAAAACGTAAGCTTATTGATGATTAGTGTTGATGTTTCCTGAATGATTTAAAAACCATCAAAACTGTCAAATTGCATTAATCATTTTTTTATGATCACTGTATGATAGAAAAATATCAACCACCAAAATAGTTATTATTTATCATTCCTGTGTGATTAAATAGAGGATATTACATGATTGGTCGCATAGAAATATTGTGCTCACTCGATGTATATAAATTCAAAACTTCAAGATAAAAATTATATCTTCAAGCAACATGTAATGTTCTGTTTATTAAATGATTTTGGTGTAAGCAAAAAACTGTAACATAATCATAGAAGATCAAAAAGTTTGAACATTTGAACATAATGATTAATTTATGATTTCTGCATGATTGAAAAATTCCAAAACTGTCAAAATGCATTTAATATTAATTTATAATTCCTGTATGATTGAAAAATGTCAAACTGTCAAAATATATTAATAATTAATATTAATTTATGATTGCTGTAATAATATCTACTAGAGTGAACTCACTTAATCCGTGAAAGTTAAATAGTATATCATAATTTTAAATAATCTGAACTCCTTTGTATTTTATTGTCTAATTAATTAGTACTATTTGTTTCGCGGATTTAGTATGTCCACTCTAGTAAGGAAGTTTTATTTTGTAAATAAACTAAATGATGTTTTTAATAGAAAGATTAATGTAACATTATACATGGTGTACTCTTCATAATAAATTGTGCACTATTTGAATATACACAACATTACAAGAATTCAAAATGAGTGGTTTTCTTTACATATTATATATATCACTACTTTGCACCAACAAAGCTGAAGAAGAAAGAGTTTAATATTTAATGTAGTGCCATGAACGTTTTTCGTTTGCCAAAATAAATTAGTCTTAACAAAACACATGTAGTCTGACAAATGTGCCTTGCATCCCATTTTTATCCAACATGCATTGCATATCTTTTGGGAGCTCCGCTATTAGGTTTTACCTAATTTTTATATTACCATCGATCTCATCTGACTATGGAGCCATGATTGGACTGTTTTTCTGCACACATAAGGTGTAGAAAAAATGGCTATTCGGATGAAACAAATATTTTGAAATCAAAACAAAAAAAATCACCTTTTGTGTGCAAAAAAAGCCGGCAAAAAAGTGACATACATGGAGAGACCAAAATATGCTGTAACAAGTCAAAACGTCCCCAGTGTCCCCCACAGAGGTTGGAATTTGTCTAGTCTCCAGTTCTGACCGCGTTTACCGCCCAGGATACTGTCGGCACGTTAGAAGGTAGGTTTCTCTATTTTTTGAGTCATTTTTCTTGAGTTTTTCTCCCGAAAAACTTTTCTCTTGATGCCATTCGTCCAAAATAAGGTAAAAACCGTTATTTTACACTTACTGTCTCAGATTAAAAATTCGTTTTGACTCAAAGTTGGAGCGAAAAAAGGATTTTTTTCGATCGTTTTTGTCGGCTTTTTTAGGAGAAATCCACCGGACTGTCCTCCCCTGTCACTATATATATCATATAAGGAGGAGATATTTTTCAAAACCCATTTATAATGCTATAAAACGTTATATAAAATAAAACTAGACAATTTTGAGAAGTTTTAATTTTATTTTGATAGTTGTTGTAGATTCATTGTGCTTGGGCTCCCTGTAATGAAAATTGAGAAAGTCCGTGATAGCGAGCACTAGCTTTAGCCATTACGACCATTATACGTACAAACGAAAATTTAAAATCTTAATTCCAGCTCACCAAAGTTCACTAGAGTTTCACAGTTTTTTATTATTAATTCGAACAAAAATGTTGGGATCTTCCGACAATCAGTGTGGAACAGTAAGGCAAGTTGTCAAGGAGTCGCGCAACTATGGGATGACCCTTTGCTATGATCCCGTTGGAAATAGAAACCGTTGTTTCTACCAATGCTTGAGTAAAGCTCTAAAAAGGGATGAAAAAGACGTTATGCATCATCTTGAATGTTATATGTTGGACAATGAAACTATACCAACAATGAACGAGGTAAGATCCTGTTTTTAAAATGCTGAAAGATTACTACCAAATTAACCTATAAAAACTTTTAACAATAAAAATGTTGAGACCTAATTACTTACACCATTTTATTTTTTACAGAATAACGAAATTGTGGAGACCTCACTGTATGAGTTCCTCACCGATGCTGACTACCAGTTAAAGGGGTGCAAGAGACCAAGCACATGGCGTCAAGCTGTTTTGGGGTTGAGAGATGAAATGGCCTGTCACCCTGTCATTCTTGCAGCGGCCACTCTTTTTCGTGTTCAAATTAACATTATTGATTGGATTGGTGTAAGTTAAAATATGTTTGTAATATTTAGCTATAAAAATTATTCTCTCATGTATTACGGTTCAAATACTTCATAGCCATGATTCAGCGGTTCTATTCCGGTTATAACACCTTCACCGCACTCCTTTAATCTGCAGTTGCACAAATTTAATAACTTGCACAATAGTCTCCTTCACGGATACCTGCGCCATCTTGAAAGGTAGCCGTGCCTTTGCATCGAAGCGAGACGACCGTTGAGTGTGCAATGATAGATACCTGTGAATAATTGTCTATAGGTGTGAAAGAAGGTTTCTATCATTGCACGCTCAACGGTTGTCTCGCTTCGATGACAAGGCACGGCTACCTTTCAAGATGGCGCAGGTAACCATGAAGGAGACTATTAAACCCGGCAGGGTCGGATTTTTTCTTATAACTTTTGTTTGCATAAAACTCTAAATATCTGCGACCTTTGACATTGTGGACCAACGACAACAGACTTCCGTGAATCCAATACTGGCCCCAGAAAATCGCAATATTTTTTGTGAAAACAATTTTGCACAATTTCTTTTGCGAGGATATTTATTTATACTACTAACAACCTGTAATCAGATGCTGTAAAACGTGCGATATTTTGAGGTAGGAAATCGATGAGGTCCTACAGTGATCCGTAAAAACAGTAAAATTGTGAAGTTTGAAGGATATAAGTATGTAAGTTTAAAAAAAGAAGAAGTTTTGTACGAAGTATTGCCAAGAGAAAGAACGCATTTAATTCATTTACCGGGAAAAAACGGACTGTTCAAATTTAGGTTACGTCACTTAGAAGAGGATGTCCGGTCCCAAAGTTAAACCTGGAGCTGGTTGTACAAAGCCTGGATAAAACTATCCACTTTAGACAATTTGAGATTTTATCTGCTGGATAAGGATTTTTCCGTGATAGCGCTATTCAGGCTCCGTACCGGCTCCTGGAGTCATGCTACCACAGGTAGCCCAATTAACCAATAGGTTAACAACATGTGCAAGTAATGCACCTATCTAAATAAATGCACTTTGTCTCTATTGGTGTTTTAGCGCTTGACCAAAATGAATCCGCCTTTTCGCCACGGCGTCTCTAAGAGGATATATCTTGGATACACTGGTGATCATTACATTTTGTTGAAACCTACAGAGGTCCTGGAGAGTGATAGTGAATCAAGCGTAAGTAATAATCAAAACTTTAATAATATTTATCAAACTTTAAGTTTGATAAATATTATTAATATTAATAATTTATTAGCAATCGTAGCTCTGCAATCGGGTCACGTGCGGGCACTTTATACCTTGATAAAGACACCAATGAATAAATAAATAATTACTTCTTTTTCAGATCTGATAAAAACCTAATGATTAAAACATCAAGTCTTCATCAGTGATAAAGAACTGATGTTTTATTCATCAGTTCTACGTCAGACACTGTTGCACAAGGTCTCAATAGAGTTATTCCGCGTTAGACACTTTTCATACCTTAGAGATGCAAATACCCAATATGATACCTTACGTATGCAAATAGATGAGGTGACGGTTTTGTCCGCCATTTTGGACGGGTAGGCATAGTGTCGCAAAATAACAAGGAATGACCGGGAAATCGATGTCARATAAYTCTCGCTGAATTCAAATTCAGAAAGAATTATCATTTGCAAACGTTAGATACTGCAAAAAGGAGTTAACTGGCCAAATTTGAAAGGCGTACTTGATCTAGAGAGCGAGTAAACTCATTTTTAGTTCTCCATACATTTCTTTGTAATTTCAATACATTTCGTTATAATTTCCGGGGTCATCAGTGCGTGACGCGCGTGAAAAATACAAAGAAATGTATTGAGAACTAAAAATAAATTTTCTCGCTCCCTAGACGAAGCACATCCTTCAAATTTGGCCAGTCAGCTCCTTTTTGTAGTATCTAACGTTTGCAATTGATAATTCTTTCTGAATCTGAATTCAGCGAGAATTATTTGACATCGATTTCCCGGTCATTCCTTGTTATTTTGCGACACTATGCCTACCGGTCCAAAATGGCGGACAAAACCGTCACCTCATCTATTAAGAGCATTTAAAAGCGTTTTATTCAAACTTTTAAAATTTAGAAGCAATTATTAAGACGTATACTTAAGAAAAACCAGAAAAAAGGAGATTCGTATGTGTGCATATTTAAGAAATAGATAAAATAAAAAGAAGCTATACATAAAATTTCAATATTAGTATGTTACAGCAATTATAACTCCAGGTTCAAAAAATCTATTTTAGAAACATTACGTTTTTTATAATAGTCGAAGCTACCTAGCAACATAAATGTCCTAGAATTACGTTTTTTGTTTACTATATTGCAATATAATGTCTTTACAAATTGTCTTCCGCCCGATTTGCATACACTAGGTATCATAATGAATATTTGCATTTATAAGGTATGAAAAGCGTCTAACGCGGAAAAACTCTAWTCAGTGTCGGATCATTGACCTTGTGCAGCATCGACAGAATTTCTTAAAATCCCCTTGTGCCATCCTACTCACACGTTCATGATCTCTATTGAATGTGGGATACTATAAAGTGTATTCTGCGCATGACTACCGTTTTAGAATTAATTATCAACAGACTTTTTGCGTATTTTAGTTAAGGAATAAAAGACGAAATTCCGTGTTTGATACTCTGATCAAAACACGCGGGATGTAGGGAGAGCACGAGAGAAGCGTAGGAAACCACGACGCGTAGCGGTTTCCAGCTTTTCGAGTGCTCTCCCTACATCCCAAGTGTTTTGATCAGAGTATCAAACACGGAATTTTGTCTTTTATTTCTACGAAAATTGTAAAGAATTCTGACTTTTGATACGATATGAAACGAATTCTCCTTACATTGCAGTTGTCTGCAGCTTCTGTAGCTTCTAAAACGTTTGATAGCTCTTCTTCTAGGATATCACCCCAGAGGACATCATAAATAGGCATTTCTTCATTCATTGTTCTTGAAAATGAATGATAACAAAAACAAATGCAAACGGCGGGAAAAAAGAAATTTTTGACGCGCGCGAGCGTGTTTTGATACTGTAATCAAACATGGTTTTCGACCAATCACAGCGCGCATAGTATTCTAAATATTTTAGAAATGCCGATAAAACACGCTCTCTCGTTCTTTATAAATTACTTACCGTTGTAATTATGATTTTTTTTATCACAGCAGTTGATTGATACTACTGCAAGTTGCACCAAAGCAAGTCATGTCCAAGACCCTGAATCCAGTTCTGATGAGAGTGTTACTATCGTATTTACAAAAAACAATGTGGAGGACAAGAAATTGCCGGTATATAGCCTTAATTCTAAGATTTACACATTTTGGCACCATATTACCACATAGCCGTGTTCATCCTCAAAACACTAGGGGTTACGCTAAAGAATGTTTCCCATTCCCATTTTCCATTACCAACACCTTTTTTACTTTTACTTATAAAATTTGCCTTTGTCTAGCTATCTAGTCATTGTAGTTCGGCTAAGAATGAACATAACTGAAATTCTTACTAAAATGTCATAATTATTTTGCTATCACCATGTGCTATAGGGAAAGATTGAAATTAACGAGCACCAGAAGCCTGGGGATGAATCATCCAAGCAATTTACCGCAAAACGAAAAAAAATAAAGGTATTCTTAATCCATATTGCAGTTGTATGCACATAAGCCATATTAAGATATCAGTATTATTATTACATTTTGAAAGTTATTTAATGTTATTGTGCTATTTTTTCTTCTTCTTCTGTTGTAGGTCGAACAGTATGAATCCTGGGACGAGGAGGAGTATTCTCCAGGAGTAAGCCTGTGGAAAGGAATCCCAATAAATGTGGATTCCACTGACGAAGAGACATTTTCGCAGGTACATCTATGAAGGCATGTCTACTACTTATGGATCACTGATACTGTGCGGCTGGCGGCTCGCCAATTATAATGCACGTATATAAAGTACTGCATGATCACAATGGAAGCTTATCCAATATTTTTACAACGACAACCGCTCAAAACCTTTTAAAATAAATTTATGTTGCAGGCGTCTGCTAAGACACAAAAGAAAATCAAGAATGCAAAGGATGTCAAGGCTGCCGTTGTTGATCTTACGCAAACAACTCCTAAAAAACGTTGCGTTAAAGTGTAAGTACTGATATCCTGTTTATGAAGAGTATCTAACAAACTGAAATTTTTAAAGATTATAAAAGACATTTTAAAATATTTTAGATCCAAAGAAAGCGATTTTGACTCGTCGAACAGAGAAATTAACCAGCCAATGACGGAAGAATTGAAAACAGATACAAGTACATCCGGCGAAGAAAGTTCAAGTGACTGTGAGCCCATTCAAACCATGGGCAGCAGAACATATGTGAAGCAAAAAGTCTGGAAGGAAAAAGAAGAGGAATTTGTTGAAAGAATTCCACCGAACGTCAATGGCACACATATCTACAAACTGAGATGCCCAAAGGGAAAAAATCCCATGGACGTAGCAAAAGATATGCGTCCATGGAAACGCTACGTTCCATCAACTCGAGCAGGATTCTTTGGAACACGAAGATTGGCTCARTGTGCCGGAACAATGGAATGTTGCAATTCTTTTTGCCCTTATTTAGAAGAATTTGGGCAAGCAAATGTGAAGCAATTCACAAAAGATGGTAAGGACAGTCTTTGTATGCACTGCAATACAAAGATACAGCATACTCCTTGCTATGCCAGAAAAATTTGGGAAATTCCCAAGTCAAGTGAGCTTATAACTGTATGTCATTACGGTGAGCACACCTGCAAGACAGTTCAAAGTCCAAAACCAAAAAAGAAGAAAGATAAAAGTGACGTTGTGGCAAAGTTTTCAGACATGCCAAAGACCACCGCAACGCAAATGGCTTTCCATGCTGTGTCTTCTTGCATAGAAAAAGGCCTTTCGTGGGAAGATATAGAAGAGGCAGCGGAAGAACATTCGGATTTAAATGCTCTAAAAAACGCTAAGAAGAAGGCTACCAAACAAAAGCGACCTCATGGCCATAGCTTTGAAGCTGTCTCTGTCTTAAAAAAGAAGACAGACGAGAAAGATCCGTTTTTGATCTATCGAGCAAATGATGGGTCACTTAATAGTAGTCCCACTTATGTGTTTAAGACCAGTGAACTGAGGCTCAGAATAGCTTTGAATATGGATCGTCATGGTAATCATTTTTTGGCGTCTGAATATTGCCATTTCGATGGCAAACATGACAGATGTAAGGGTTTCATAACCCTGACAGCTAGTGTTTATCACTCTGTGCTTCGACGTATGGCAAAGCTGGCTATCATGGAATGCCAAAACGAAAACCAAGAAAACTTGGTGCTCTTTTGGACTTTATTAAATAAAGCAATGAAAGAAGCCTTCAAAGATGATACCAAGTTCTTCAATCCTTGTGGCTTCATCTGCGATGAGGCCGGAGCCAACTGGAAATCACTTGAGGAAGTTTACGGTCGCGATGTGCTCCAGCGCACGAAGGGTTGCGAGTTTCACTTTATGCAGTCTGTCCACAGGCATGCCAACAAGCTCACTAGCAGAAAATCTAAACACAGATTCAAGAAACTAGCGAATTGCCTTAGAGAGGCGGCCACACCAGCAGCATTCCAGACTGCCCATTCCGAAATGACATCTTTCATCAAAGAGAAATATAACAAGCGTAAACAACTATTAGGTTGGTTGCAATGKTGGACTGACCGAAAGACACACATTTCAAAGGCTTATCGACCCCTTTATAATGCTCCTTCAGCAAATCTTTCCGAGCCCGTCAATTCTGCATTTTCAAGAAGAGGAAACACRAACATCAGTCTGATTGATGCAGCGTTGGAGGATGTGACTGAGAGTGTTTTGCTGAAGAAAATGTGGGAAAGGCAAAGCAGAGGGGAAAAGACATATGGAACTGGTCCAACACAGGCTCAACTCATCGAAAGAGAAAAATCAAATCAGCTGGAGAGAGCTCAGCAAATTGTTGAAGAGGCGTACGATACACTGGGGGCTGAAACAAGAGAAGAGGCATATAGTGCAGCAGAAGTTGACCCCCATTGTAGCCATCGCCCGACAAGGCCAAAGTCAAAAAGAACGTCGTCCAAAAATAAAGCCCAAAAGCATCCACAAAGGAAGAAACRTGTTAGTATCCATGATGATTCTGATGAATATGCATCGTCAACGTCCTCTAGTGACACCCAATCCTCCACATCAAGACCTAGGGTTTACAGAAACCATAGAAGCGCAGTCTTCCTGAAAACCCTTGAAAAAGCTAAAACAGAAAAGCATCAAATGGCAGTTAAGAGATTGTTGTCAAGTGATAACGATGATCACAGAGAATACGAAATTTCAAGTTCGAGTTCGACTTATACAGTTAAAATAGGACAACTTCCTTCATGCACCTGTTATTTCTTTTGCAAAAGCCGTCAGCTGTGCAAGCATATATTATGGGTATATTTATATGTCCTTGAGGTAAATGAGGAGAGCGACAAAATTTATCAAATGGGACTCACAAGAGAAGAAATCAAAAGCTTATTCAGAAGTGCCCCCAAAGATGTACCAGATAACTTAATGTTAGTAAACGGTACAAGGAATTCGTTCGAAACAGCATTTGAGCGACACCCGCAAAAAGACGATGAACAAGAATGGGTGCTAACAAGGAAAACACATCCAAAAACTGCACATTGTGGGGGAAAACCGTGCACAAAAAAAAATTGACAAAGGCGACTTACACCTTGCTGTGAATGGCTTGTATTGCCCGAAAGACAATGGGTATGCAGTATCAACGACATTTCGCTACTGCATCAATGCTGCTTGTTGTATGCGGAAGGGAGCAAGATCAAACATCAGGCCTTTGTCTGACTTCACTGTAATCTTAGACCCTAAGGCAAAAGCTACTGAAGAAGAGCTTAAGAAAGTAGAGGATGCTGGATTTAAAACAAAGTTGAAAATAAGGACATTATGACAAAAACCTGGGTGTGCTTTAACTCCTCATTCCAGGCATTATTGGGTGGGCCAAACTAGTATGTATTTCATAGAAAAAGAGTGTTAATTTTGTTACCGTTTTTAGAGCAAAGACACTAAATGAGTGAAACATATCAAGATTTTATAACTTCCGTTGCAAAGTTCGTTGATTGTGCAAAGTGCGTGATATATGCATTTAACTTTAGCATTTTGAATTATATTTCCTGCAAGAAAATTGTAATAGTGCAAATGTCCACATATACACTTACGACTAAAATAAATGTATTTCTTCTGGACAATCTTATTAAGAATGGATTCTAACTGTGTGTTACTTATTACACGTAATTGTCGYGACAAATAAATAGTATGAAAATAAAATAAATTCTGTCTCGCTCAAACACAAGAAATTAAAGTGATACACACAATTTTGTGAAAAYAGAAACCCTGAAATATCGCAATACGCGTCCCGAAAATTTCATGTGATARGGTAGCACAAAGCCGCCTTGGCAAAAACATTCATCGTGAGGAAGGATAGGATAGGTGAGTGTGAGGTGAAGTTTGTATCCTTCCTTATTTATCAGTGGATATAAGTTTATCACAAAAAGAATAGGGGAAGAGGATAGTAGAGGGTTAAAAGAGGGAGCGGTAAAAGCGGAGTGAAGCAGGAAGTTCAATTAAACTAGACGCTCTGGGAGCGTGAAGTCGGACTAGCTGCTTGTGAAAATTGAGAAAGACAGGATRTTACATGGATAAAAATATTTCTTAACGTTTTTTTCCAAAACAGCCGAACTCACGGTCTAATAAGAGCGTCTAGTTCAAAATATGCAAAATATATTGAGACTTTAAATAAACTTGACCTAAAAGGTTATTGTAATTAACGCGATAAGAACATGGCTTGCTTTGACTGATAAAATCAACTACGCTCAGACAAATGTCTCGCTAAGTGATATCATGATCATATGATATCATCTAAAACGTTGACCTCTCAGGCAAAGAAAATAAAAACTTTACAAGGAAAAAGATGCCTATAAAATCATTAAATTCGCCTTTCTGTTATTGATAAACAAAGTTGCTTCTTGTTCTAATTTGAAATCTTTGCCCCCACAAGACTGTCTAACACTAGAAAGGATATTGATTCAGTTTTGTAAGCATACAACTCGAAACTCTATGCGATCTGCACATGCGCGTTCTTCTAATGCCTAGACAGACGCATTCCAATGAGATCACAGATACCACATTTGTAAACGAATAGTTTTTTTGTCATATAAAAGCCAAGTAGCATATAACATTTACTAACGATATTCGTTTCCGGTCATGTAATAACACAGCTAACCCAATAGCTAATTATTAAATTCTTAACTTCCGGTGGTCCAAACGCGACATAATACATCTTTTTTCTTTGGACAACGTTTTTGCAATTAGGTGTATGTTATTATGTGTAGATATAAGGAACCAGCTGATTTTTGAGTGATTTAAATGTAATCAGCAGAATATTGAACTTAAATCTTGAAAGTATTAATTTATTAATTATATCCATTTTGAAATCACAAGTGAATCCTGCAATCTGATTGGTTCTTAGCAGGTTGATTTCAGCCTAAATCGCACCATTTTTAATTCTTAATCACACTCCTTTGAGGAGCCAATCACAATGCAAAACAAGTAAAAGGCAACCAATCACATTACGGGATTGTGTGTGGTTAACCAATCAAACTACAGCAAAAAGGACACACAAAGAGTACATTTTTAGGTTTTACAGCAAATATTTTTATGAAAATATATGTGCAAATTGGATTATTTTAGTTCTTACTTACAGTTTTAGATGACAATGTACTATCTCAGTGTAATTTTTCATCATTTGCTACTTCTAAATTCTGACGAAAGTGTAATTTACAGTCCAAAAATGTCAGAAATGTTCAACAAGGGATGCAAGTTCATGCAGCTCAGTTTGCAACTGCAACACAAACAATTGAAGCCCGTCTATGAATGAAGATTTCCAGGTCTTATAAATTATGCAGACATCCTTAGGCTTCAGGTCACTAATAAGAACAAAGACAGCAACAAAACTTTGGAAAATGTGGATGAATGTACTCGTTCACGAGCCGCCATCTTGATTGTCAAGCAAGTAAAACTTTTGAACAACATTTTATGCCAGTTCTATGCTAGAGTAAGACTTCAAAAAGTCKACADCWACCAACCARAAACAGTAAGACAGATACAAAGTTCCTTTGACCGCTCTTTGAAGGAGAAAGGCAGCAACGTAAGGATTGTGAAGGCGAGGAAAATCACATGGCATCGATCGTCTTCGCCGATGGTAGCTTTACGCAAATTTGTCGATAAACACGTTAAAATATCCATCTCAAAGACCCTGCAACAACTCTTTAACCTTCTTTGCGACAGGCGAAACAAACGGCCTCCATAATTTAATCTTATGAGGACTCAAAATGAAATAAAACTTGAACAAAATCTGCTCGTTTGAAATTTGTTAAAGTTCGTAGTTTTCCTCGAAGTGAAGTGACATGACCTGTCAGTTTATGAATTGCAAATGAGATGTAAAAGACTTTCCGGTTCCGGTTTTAAAAAGCGACGACTGTCTCTTTTTGTTAGGATTTCAAAATGGATATAATTAAGTGGTAATTGAACTTCGTGTCGTGCAATTTTGGTCTGAAATCAAACTTGCAATTACAATCGCGCGTTTGATTTCAGACCAAATTGCACTCCACTCAGTTCAATTACCATTATTTATATTATTTATATTTTCGTTAATTTGACTGATAATTTTTATATTGTCTATTT